ACAATTTTAAGCATTATTTAAATTTATAATATGATTAATTTGCATTACATCTAATAGCAAACTAAGTTTTTTTTTTTTTTTTTTTTTTTTTTTTTTTCCATGTTTACATTAAAACTGTTTTCCGCCAATTTTTTAGCAGTTACTATTTGAAAAATATTTCTTTAAATAGAAATTAGAAAAGAAAATATTTCTTTTTAATATTTCTTTCCCTTTTTTTATTTTCTTTTTCTATGAAAATATTTTCTTTCAGGAAAAGAAAATAAAATAAAATTCATTCGCTATTACAGTATGGCCGATTGCTGCTGCATTCAGTTATCAGACACGCATCAAAATGCTTTATTTTAAATAATTTATTCTATAATTAACATGAAAGAAAATATTTTTTTCAATATAAAAGTATATAACCAAAATAAATTATTCTATCCTGTATGTGTGATTAATTCGTTTTGCAATTTTTTGTCACACAATTACTAATATTTTTTTTCAATATTACATTGCTGTTATTTTAATTTTGTATATATATAAGAACTGCTCAGTTTAATTATTCTTCCTTCTCAAAAGATTTTGTTCTGTGAAATAATTAAAAGATGGTAATATTTTTCACAATGGAAGTACTAAACTAAAGTAAAAATAATCAGTGTAGTCTCCTGCAGTTCAAGTTCCTTTTCAAACCAGCGTTTCGACACATTTTAAATAGAAAAAAACTAATAATAATCAATATCTCTTTTAAATAAAAATAAAGAAGCTATGAACAGTATTTTTATTATTTATTTATTTATTTATTTTATTTAAGTTTGCAAAGAAACACAATGATTTTTTAATACTATAATAGGTTACCAAAAAGTACTATTCCATGAACAAACCCTCAGTCTTATAGCATTGTTACTTTATAGCATAATACATAATAACAGTATAATTCTGCTAACAAGCCACCAGCCGCCGAGCAGTAGAGTCGCTGAACGCAGGTAATTTGGTCCGAGGTTCGAATCCCACGAACGAGCTGGCCGGCGTTTTCGTGGCTTTCCCCATGTGTAACGTGTATACGAGCCAGTTTTCCCTTAGAAAGTCCTCACTTAAAAATCAGTTTTAAAACGTATTAAAATTACACACACACACACACACACAAAAAAAAAAAAAAAAAAAAAAAAAAAAAAAATGAAAGCCTTCAGATTTATATTACTCCCAAAGGGCCATTTTTTTAACGTTTTGCGTGTTACCTTATTTATTAAATATCATGTTTTTTCGCACTTAAACCATAAAATTCAATTCAAAGCAATATCATATAATTAAAAAAAAGCATATCTTTAGAATTTCCGATACATAGTCTCGCGCGCTAGAGATGAAAATGTTTTTTGCCATTGCTCGCTTTGAAATCGTTGGGTTTCTTAATCAAAAACTCATAAATGCTTTACAAAATATGATATATGAAATGGATAGTAATACAAATTCCCAGTTAAAATTTGGCCCTCCAGATGCCTCTATTAGGATGGAGGATTACGTTATTCAGAATTTCATGGCTCTAGGTACCGTTGTTTTATCACAGTGCGAGAAACATTCATGCATTCTGCAGATTCCTCATTATTTAATTTCTTTAAATATAATAGAGTGCGATAATACTTGTGGTGGCAACGATTTGAAAAGTGAAAGCCATTTATCGTGAAACGCCACAAAAATGGCAAAACGAAATTAATAGCCCCTCTGGGCTAAAACTTATTTTTAAAAGTATCACACTAATAGTAGTACAATTACTGAAAAAAATATTATAAATCTATTTTATAGTTTTATAATTATTATTATTATTATTATTATTATTTTTAAATTTTATTTTACAGTAGTGTGAATTTCGCGTAATAATGAACGACATTTTTGTGTTCACAGTATTATTCGTAAGGTATTCAACTGTTAGATTTTAAAGTAAACGTAATTCTTGCTGTACATAAATCGAGTAGAAGCTTATCGGATGTCTATATTTGTATTAAATGAAGAAGGTTTATGTGCTTGATAAACTTATTATCTTCTACATTTTTAAAGCGTACAATTACAATTTATATCTATAATTTCAGGAATAGTATAACCTTTCGTTTTAGTAGAAATTGCGTTCTTGTTTTCTGAATGTGGCTCCAAATACTCTCTCAGTTCACCCCAATTAAAATAACTATAAATTTTGGGAATCTGAAATACGCAATGAAAACATCTTTTGGCAGAGAGCAAAAGCATCAACATATTTTCTATAAATTCGCCACCGATTCAGAGATCTACGACCGTATTCTTCGTTTAAATATGAAAAAATCAGCGGCGAAAACGCATACAAAGTCATTGTCTACTTAGTACGCCAACTGACAACCCTGATTGACGACGCGGCAACATTTTTTCACGCGCTTTCGACAACTTCCGTACTCAGAGAATATAGGATGTTGGGCAGACCTGTTTTTTACTAGCAGCGACATCTGGCTGCCCACAACTTGCTGTCGACTCTCGTAGCGTAGAATAACCGTCCTGGTTAAGAAAGTGTATGTAGTAAGTATTATAATTATCATATTTAAAATAGTAGGTAAGCTGATTTATTAAATATATAATTCATTGCAATTAGACAAGGATATCCTCCAGAGTACTAGAAGTTAGAAATCAATTAAAATTTTAAAATAACAATAATGATTAACTCATTAATCAAGCACTTAATAATGTTTCTCAGTAAAAGAATAAAATTATTGGTGGTTAACCGAGAAACAGAGGTTGGCACTGGTTGCAAATGTCCCCATCTCTAAAGGAAAATTTAAATAATGCTACCTCCCGGTGTGTAGACATCTTCTGGTACAGTCTGTCCCGAAAACAGGACGCTCAGATCAACTACATTTGACGGCGAGTCGCGGCCGTTGCACTGCAGGGAAAAATCAGAAATTTTGTGCTCTGTCCATCCACACTAGGCCTACTCTGCTGGGGTGACACGTCGGTGAACTTCACTGGATTTTGCGCAAAGAGTTTTCTATAGGTGACAGATGATTTGATACAATAGGCTCCATCATTGGCAATTTTAAGAGGTCGAAACAAAAGTCTCCGTCAGTGGTGAACTCCCTAAGCTGGATTTAATTGTGATGGAAGCAGGTGGGTTTCAGGTGGTGCGCAACAAATTCGAGGCAACAGGCTCTGGAAAGCTGGCTCAGACATTTGTGTGAAAATCTTCCTTGATAAGGAACTCCCTAAAAACTAGAGTTTAATTACGTTGGAACCAGTGAGAGGGAAAACAAATTCGCTGCAACATTTCTTTTTCGTTTTCTGCACTCCACTGGCTCTGAAATTTTGAGGGGAAAATCTGCCTCTAACAGGCTCGCAAGAGTTTTTAAATCGGAAAACTTCCACATTCCCAAAAACTCCTCAAAAGAGATGAAAAAAATCTGCAACCACGCCAAGAATAAAACCATATAAAAATTTCTAAATTTTTCCAAGAATAATTCAACCTTTTAAATTTTCTTGCTAAAAAACATGCCAAGGCAACTAACCTTTTTCACTGGAAGACTAACCCCTCTGGAAATGGGTGGGAGTAAACATTCATCACCTGTCAAAACCCAGCTCTGGAAGCTTAAAAATTGCACTTCTAAGTGAACATTTCAGGAAATCTGCGCCATTTCTGCTAAAAATGTACGTTTAATTACAAATAACTTCCCAAGTAATTAAGCTAAGCGAAGACCTATAATTTCACCAGAAAGGTACAGTTTCTGTACAAAAGCATAAAAATTTCCATTAGTTAAATTCATAATTTATATTTTTAAATTGAGATAATACTCAAGAAATACTTGAAATTAAAGTGTCTTTAACACAGAATCCAACCCAAGAAACCTATTTTGAATTATCCAAATTTACCACAGTTATACAAACTGACTAACATAAATAACTTTACTTAAAAAAAAAATAATAAAATTCAGCAAACACAAAAGCTGATTAAAACCTTAATTAATATTAATAAAAAATATTTCTTCAACAACTTACAACCAGAAATTATTGATTCAAAAGACTTTAGCAGAAAGAGGGGTAAGAGGGGTGACATTAACCAAACTCTAAATAAAAAAAAATAAAAAAAAATAACAGACCAAAAAATGTGTAACAAACAAACTTTTAAATAAATTAAAGTTAAAAGTTACATAATTTTAAGGGTCAAAACAAACTTTACAAAAACAAATAAAACTTTAAGTCCCTAAACTCAAATTAAAATTAAACAACTTCACTTTAAGAAAACTTTTAAAGCTTCCAACTTAAATTAAAATTTACCAAAAGTTTACAGCTTAAAACTTACAACTAACTATAAACAACTAAAGCAAAAAATAACAACTTCAATTACTGAGCAAGCAGAAATAAGTAAGCAAACAACTTAAAGCTTGAAAGTAATAAACAATTAATGCATAACATTAGCCAGCTATTGAAAAATTTAACTATCAAAACCAATTCAATTTCTTACCTCATTGATAATGCTATAAATTTATTATTATTTTTTTTTATTTACCTTCATTTTAATTTCTAACATACATTTATAGTTATTTTACTAAACTATTCAAAAATTTTATGCAATGCAATTGCAGTAGTATTGAATAATGTACTGTATTGCAGTATATAGGTCAAAAATATTTCAAAATGCTGAAAAATATTATTAAGAACCAATGCATGTGTGTGTCTATGTTTTCTTAAATTTTGGCGCAAATATTTCTTGTATATTGGTTCTTAGTGTATTTAGAAATGTGCAGTTTTCATCTCCTCTTTTATTTCTTTCACTTTGCATTTATAATTTTTTCTGGTACTGTTCTGCTATCAGGACCGAATTTAGAAATGTATGTATATTTGCATTTATGGATGGTGTATGTGGTTATGTGTGCATGTATGTATGAATGTATGTGTATGCACACATATATGCACTTACATACATACATTTCTAAATCCGGTCCCGATAAACTGAACAGTACCCTTTTTCTTATATGAGTACACAAATTAATTCAGTTATTTTTCTCCCATAGTACTTAATTGAAATTCCAAATAATTACATCAGTGGAGTTCCAAATGACTGGTTAAAAATAAGTGCGTAAGTATATAAAGTTTCATAGAATTTCCTATATGAAGATTTGGGAAATATGATGCTTCTTTTTAAAATACAAATTAGCACAAATATATATGTAAAATAAAATTTCTCTCAGTTATATGTGGCTCTATTCATTATTCAAAAAGCAATCTGTTATTAAAAGATTTTTTTTTACTTCTTTATGATATCCAGATGTCAAAATTTCTTTGTTTTCATAAAAAATATAGAAAAATATATTTTCCAGTGTTGTCTAATATGATGAGTGAATATCTGTTAAAGTATAAAAACTGCCAGGTCATAAAAATTTTAGATTTTTGTTTGAAATCCTAGTATATTATTTTTGATTAATTTTAGGTTGCATTATGTAAAATTGATTCATTGAGAATAGATGAATACATGTAATACTTAAAGTATATTGTAAAATGATAAGTTAATTAAATAATGGTTTGGTACTTTTCCTGTTAAAACCATATCAAAACATTTTAGCTTATTTCTTCCCCATTCAGCTCAATATCAGATGGGCTTTCTCCTCAAACTTTTTTTTTATTTATCTCCACTTTACCTGTTTTTTTTTTTTAAATTAAATTTATTTATTTATTTATTTATTCTTTTTTTTTTTTTTTTTTTTTTTTTTCCATCCCTTAAACCACGGTTGACAAAAGCCGGCCCACGGGATGAATGCAGCCCTTTTAATTGCTTAATCCGGCCCATTATGAAATTCTGCGAACAAAATTTCCATCTCTTTTCTGCCTGATTTTCTATGCAAACTGCTGAAATCAGCAGCATGAGTGCAGATCTGTTGTTATGGTGTATATGTGCATATATAGGTTCAACTACACTCTCAGTCAACTAAGCTGAGAACTCTAAATATACTAGAAAGTATGAGCATCCACTAAAGAATGTAGTTCTATCATTTCTAGCAGCTTTAATTTAGAAATTAAAAAAGAAATGTGAATATTGCTGTAAAAAGTAGACAATAGGAAATTAAATGCTTAAAATTCTATTTTAAATTGTAATTTTGTTTTAAAAAATATTTTTAATGGGTAGAAGGAATATTTCCCCTCTCCCACCATTGCGTCCTGACACAATATAGGGCAGTAGTCTCAGACTCAAATTGCACATGGGCTAAATGCATGACCTGAAAGTAGCTGATGGGCAGCAATTAAAAAGAAAGAAAAAAGAACTTTTTGTTTTGTTAACTAAATTTTAAAACTTTTTGCTACATATTTGTCAAAACACAGATATAGAAATGATGGAAAAAAAATTCAAATTTATACTTATTTTCTGCTTGAAATCTATGAAATCAAAAACTTGGTACATGAAAGAAATTTCTGTTGAACGCAGTTCATAATTCAAAGGTATTGACTGCTAAATATTAAAATTTTCAGATTAATATTTATTAATGAATAATCATAATGTATACAAGTAATCATTAAATAACTTAATAATTTTAAACTTCTTTGTTTCTTATTACATCTTTCAGCTACAACCCTTTGTGGCATGTCAATTTTCATAAGGTTTGTATCCTTGAAGGAACATTCCTAGATAGTGCATAATAGATACTCATCAGCAGTCTGTTTCTTTTCATAGATTTATTATTTCAGATTTTAAATTATGCCCAAAGGAGCATTTTGCAATGTTTTGTGTGCTACCTGTATTTATTAAATATCATGTTCTTCGCACTTAAACCATAAAATTTAATTCAACAGCAGTATAACAAAATAATAAATTTTAAAGAGTATATCTTTAGAATTTCCGATACACAGTCTCACGTGCTGGAGATAAAAAAAAAAAAATTTTGTACAGGGTTGTCATTGTTCGCCTTGAAATTGTTGACTTTGTTAATAAAAAATTCATTAAGTTTTTACAAAATATGAAAAATAGATAGTAAAACAAATTCCAAATTTGGGCTTCCAGATGCCCATATTCTAGTGGGCATTGTGTGTACTACATTGTTCAATAATTAATGTCTCTAGGTACTGTTGTTTTTTCACAGTGCGAGAAATATACATACATTCCTGTAGATTATTCATCTTTTAATTTCTCTAAATAAAATGCAGGTCTCTAATATTTGATGGCAGCAATTTGAAAAGTGAAATGCCATTTATAATGAACCAACGTAAAATGCCAAAAGGAAATTAATAGGCCTTCTGGGCAAATTCACCTTTGAGCTAAAAAAAAACTGTTCATGTGTAAATGTACTTCCAAAAAAAATATGATAACATTTAGGGTAGTTATCTTTTGACAGTTATTAATAAAAATTAATCAAACTTATATCTTTAAATCTTTGCATAAGAATTAAATCACAATGTAAATTGATTAACTCCAGTACCAGATTCTCCGATGAGTTGCTCACGTTCATTTTTGTTAATGGAAATAATGTATAATTAGACTCCAAACAATTAAAATATTAATTCAAGTTCTTGTCATAACAATGCTAATTAATTTTTGGGAAATATATTCACAAGCCACATTAAATTGCTTCAGAGGCTGCCAGTTTGAGACCACTGCTATAGAGTCACCGCAAAAGACCATCACACCTTTGCCTGTATAAAGTTTTAAAAAAGATTTTTTTGGTCCATAGTTAAAAATATTTTCAGGCACCTGCCTGAAACCCTTTAGGGTGGGGGGAGGAAAGGAAATAAAAGCAGATCCAGGAAAAAGTAGTTATATTTATTGGTTCTTTAATGGCCAAATAAAATCCAGAGTTAATATAAAAAATAACATTAATTAATATACATAGCACTAAAAAAATACAAGGCTAAAGAGCAGACACAAAATTAAAATTGGTAGTTAGCATAGCAAAAAGTGTTTACATCATTAAATATCAATAAAAATTTTTAAATGGCACATGTTTAGTAATGTACTACCATTGGCTACTTAATTTTCAAGCACTGACCCACTTTGCATTTCTTTTATTTGCAATATAAGACTATGATTGCTCTGTATTTAGTGTTAGTAATATTACTTGAAAATAAAAAATAAACTGACATAATATAAGTTTTATTATTTACATTTTATGTCACTTTCTAATGGTTCTCTGGTATAACTGCTAATACGTATATGTAATCTCATATAAATTCTAGTTACGTGTTAGAGTTATAACACTCACAAAATAAAGGGGGAAGCAAGTGAGAGAGAGAACATTATAACATGTAGGGAGGGGATTTTGTTGCTTCTGTTTACATTTAAATTTTGATTTATCATTAAAAAAATGCGTTTCTTTTTTTGCTTCCACTAATATGAAATTTCTTACAGTTAATTTAATATAATTTCAATTACATTTGATCACATATGTAGCTGCCTAATGTCCCTGTTTTAATGGGAGACTCCCAATTTTTCATTTCATCTTCCTGTCTCCTGGTAAATCTGAGAATCTCCCAGTTTTTAATTTTTAGCTTTTACAAAGGAAAATTTTTCCCAATAATAAATAAATTTCATTGCATTAATGAAACTTAAATTTGGGATATTCCATCCACTAACCCATAATGATTTTCAGCGTAATTTTTTGATTAAATTTGATTTGATTTGAATTGTCTTAACCACTTGCGCTAAAAAGACGTGCCGCACATGTCGAGATGCTTTTGTCTCAAACCGCAAGCGACGTGAACACCACATCGATAGGCATTTATTGCAAAAATGAAAATAACTTGGTGCACACGTCGCCTAACAACAAGATTGTTTATTTCTCGAGTTACAGCTCTGGATTGCACTCGCAGACGCAGAGCGGCGTAAATGAGACACTGTACCGCTTGTTATATTGTAGCGCACGGCACCGCAACCGTGAAGTTTAGTCTTAGCGCAAGTGAACTACTGTAGACACTTGCAGAACATTTTATAATGACTCAATGATTTTTAATCAGTTAATATTTATATCTGATTTTTAAATCAATGTAAATTGATCTACATAATACTCTGTGCATTAATTACTAGTTTTATTTTCACTGTATTTTAAAGTACTTTGATAAATAAAAGCTCTCACTTCCTGCTCAGGATTTTGTCAGTGTAAATAAATAAATAATATAAGAAAATTACAAAAGATTCTAATTTATTGAAAATGCTAGTCAAAAGTTATAAAATTAGAATATCTAATTAGATAATTATATATTTTACATCAGGTTTATAAGTAGTTCAGTAACCTAAGCCTGAGTTACCGTTCCATTCGAAAGTGAATTTAAGCCAATTTGGAGGCTTTTTGAAATGGCATTAACATGCAGCACGAAAACCTCCGAGAAAGTCCCAGTTTTCGTGAGAAAATCGTCAAATTTTTGTATATTTTTGGGTTGGCATCTATGTATAATCAGATATTCCAAATCTAATTATCCATAGCTGCCAACTTTGATCTATATAAAATCTGTTGGCAGCAGGTATCCAAAGAATATATAATTTAGAATTCGCACTAGAACTGCAGTTAAATTTTTTTCACTTGTGAGTTAAAACTTGGTAATGAGGTAATAAGCAATTTGTCTCTTTTAGTTAGTTACTTCTTTTCCCACCATTTTATAGCACCTTTGACTATGAAAGGTACTGAATTTTTCTTGTAATGAATGAGGCTATTGATATTTGAAGAACCACACTACAATTGCTTCCACATTATCTCGGAGCTGATGATCAATATCCATTAATAAAAGTGGTGACTTTTTTAGCCATGCTGCATGACATCCAGAATGTTCATCTTTTGATTTTGTAAAACTGAAAGGAATTTAAATTTAATGAAATGAAAAATTTAAGAGAGACAACAATTTAAGACAGACTGAATTTTAACAGCGTCATCTACAAAAAAATCTACAAAAAAAAAAAAAAAAAAAAAAAAAGAGCAGTACATTACTTTGTATCATTATTGCATTCATTAAATATTTTTATCATTTTTGAAGAGAATATCTGAAGAGGAAGTGAAACTTATTTTCAACATTTCATTTATTTAATCAGTTTGCTTTCTTCAAATGTATATTACTGTTTATGTGTAATCAGATATATTTTATAGGATATAAATAATTATTTATTATTAATATATTTATTACAAGTAAAATAGAATTACATATTTTCATGTAGGACGAAACAAGTATCTCGGTTTCGATCACCTGAAGTAATTGAATTTTGCAATGAACTTGAACGCTGTCAAGAGAAATTGATAGAGTATGCAAAAGCAGCATGGTCTACTTTTTTAAAGTAAGTGATTTTCCTTTTGATATAATTGATACCTCTATTCCTATAATAGGTGGGATGAAAAAAAAGAATTGCTACGGCTAATTTATCCAAAGAGAGAAATTCCAACCTTCGCTTGTTATAATCTTCTCTAGTAACTTCTGAAGTTGTGGACAAAGTCTAAAAACTCCAAAGAAATCAGCATGAAGACTATCACAGAAAAACTGAACTTGATATGATTCTGTAACTAGGCCTTTAAAATCAAGAAAGACAACAAGATCTTACAAAATCCAAGGGGTTCTTAAACTTCTGCTACTTGACCAAGACAAACAACTGCAGTTCTGTGTTTGGTATAAGGATTTCAAAATGGCAGAAAATTTTTTTTTAATTTGGATATTGTTCTCTGTTTTGGGAGGCCTGTTTTCATAAAAATGGTGTTGCTCTCTGGCAGGCTAGTTAAAAACCAAATGAATTATTTAGTTATGATGCATAATAACAAGGATGCAAACTGAAAGTTTCATTTTATTCAAGCATGTTAGCATAATCCAAGCAATCCATTTTACTGTTGGAATCCAGCGGCATATCAGGAAATAACTGAGCAGTTCTCTACAATGATCTAACATATCATGTTTTCATTGGAATGATGCAACAAGCCATTTAACCAGTTTTGCAAAATAACACTTGCATCCTTTTTTTGGTAACGAAGAAATATTCTTAATATCTCAAATCTTTTATGCCCAATATATAGTCAAATACAATAAAAACATGAGGGCTAAGGTGATGGGTACTTTCATGGAGGACTGAGTAAGAAAAATTGGAAGAATCATGAGAAACACATAAAGCCAGCCCATTCAACAAGATTTGAACCCAAATCAAGCAATCACTGCTAAGCCACTTTATTCACTTGGACACTAATGAGCCAAAGAAACAAGTATATTTTGGTAATCCCAAAACTCTGGAAGATGTAATAATAATGGAAATAATGTAAAATAAAAATTCTTGCAGGTCTAATTTTGAAGCAGTTTTTTTTTTAATTTTATTATTTATTTATTTCTAATGCAATTTAAATCCTCTGAACAACAACTTTTTGAAAAAATATTTTTTATTTTGCGAATATGATCAATATTTTCTAGATAATTATTCAAAAATGTTTTTTATATCTTGAATTTACATTTGGTTGCTAAAACTAGCACTTTAGATAAGCATGTTAGGAGAGTTTACACTGAGGCAAAGATACCATTTTGCTGCTCTAGATGCGCAGTGGGACAAGCAGTATCCCATCATGTCATGAATTAACCTAAAGGTTTACCTGTGTTTTTTTCCCCCATGAAATAACATTGTATTAGGGGCTAATTATCTATGTGTAAAGTTATTTTTTCAAAAAAAAAAAAAAATTATGCACCGAACGAAAAGAAGTGAAAGTGTTAATTTCAGGTTAAATGATTTATTGATCATCCTGTACAACTGTAATGTATATAACTTCTGGCCATTAGAAATGCAACACCAGGAAAGAATGATCTGACGAATGTCAAAATCACATGAAAGGAAGAAGAGGTTGGGATAAGCAAATGATTAGTATTTCAGCGCATTTAGATGATGCAAGAGGGAGAAATGACATTTGAAGCACTGCGTAAAAGAAAAGTTGTGTATTGGATTTCTCATTCGGAAAGCACTTTGTAAGTTCAAAGTTTGCTCAGAATATGATGTTATGCCTTGAATGAGAAGAAGAAATGCTTACCATCAAATGTCAGAATTCAATAGAGGCAGGATTATTGCATGCCGAGAGTGTGTATTATCGTTCCGGTCGGTCACACTTAGAAGCGGTGTAACACCAGGGTGCCTGGGTCAAGGATCCTACCCCTTGTCGAACAAGTAGGTTATTTTGAATGCTGTCATGAGTAACTAACATAAGATACATTTCTTAATTTTTTTTTATAAATTATGTTCATATTTTCGAGTAATGGGATAATAAGATAGTCTAATAGAAATAAAGTGTGCGTTGAGTTCCAGTAAAGACCTGAAAATGCCATCTGGGAAAGCTGGAAAAGGGGAAAAGAGCTGGCTTTAACCTAAGTCCTAGAGATACATATAATACATACATACAATACAGATAGTATGAGTCAACTGGTGCACTTAAATCATAGCATAAATCACAAACTACAGTACAGGTAAAGTAAGTCAAATTAAACAATATGAGTTTTAAGTATGGCCATAGGCCATTTACAATTATTTGGGTCATTTACATCATAATCGTAGACCCTTATAACAGGGTTGTTGATACTTGTGAAGTTCACATAAAAATTCCAGGCAAGCCAGCAATAAAAATATTTCAGTTCTTCAATGCCTAATTCATCATGAAGTTTTTGATTTTGAATGTACCAGGGTGAGTTGCTGATCTGTCTTAGGACACAATTTTATGCCTGCTGTAAGTTTTTCTTATATGATTTGCATGAATATGCCCAAACCAGGCAGGCATAACATAGTATGGGGCACAATACAGTTTTATAAATAAGCAACTTGTTATCTATTGAAAGTACACTGTTTCGAGAAATTAAGGGGTGAAGTGTAGCTTTACTTGAAACTTTTTAAGGATAGATGTTATGTGTGGGTACCATGAGAGAGTTTACTGAGGATCACCCCAAGATAAAGGACTTGCTTGGCCCATGGGATATCTTCTCCGTAAAGTTGCATGTTTTTATTGAATTTGTTCTTTTTGCTAAAAAGGTTTGCTTGAGTCTTATCTTCATTAACTTTGATCTTCCATTTTGACAGCCAAGTCTCGAGTATGTTTATGTAGTTTTGTAATTGTTCTATTGCTGGGCTAATGAATGCACTTTGTGAGAGGATCGCAGAGTCGTCTGCATACATTGCAAGTGTTGTGTTCTGTGTGGCGGGAATGTCGTTCACGTAAATATTGAATAAAGTGGGTTCAAGCAGACTCTCCTCAGGGACCCCAGCAAGGATTATGTTGGTTGATCCTGTTGAGTTGTACCACCTCCATAATTTTGCTAAGTGAGGACAATAGGCTTATCATATGGTAGGATTCTGGTGAACTTGCCGGCTTTTTGGGTTTCAGAATTGGCATAATTTGAGCCAATTTCCAACATTCCGGGAAATGCTGCCATCTAAATAAGAGGTTGATAATCTTTGTGAAGTAAAGTAAGATCTTGACTGAGAATCTTTTGATCATCCTGTTGCTAATAGCATCATACCCAAGGCTCTTGTTATTTTTCAGCTTTTTTACATATGAGCAGTGATTCGATGTCATGACTAAGATTATGTTGTCTGTGTGTGCGCTTGTCATATAGTTGTTGTGAAAGTCAATAATTAATTGCTCTGTTGTGGGATCATAAATGTTGTTTGTGTGAAACTGAGATTCCAGATGCTGTGCTAAAAGTTCTGCTTTCTCAGTTTCTGTGCAGTGGATCCATTGAGGGCCTTTAAGGGGTGGAATGTTGTGGCATTTTTTGCTACTTTTGACTGCTAACCACATAGAGTTATTATCTGCAGAGAGGGACTCCAGGTAGTTAGCGAAGCGGAATTGTTACTAATAATTAGTGCGAGACTTGACTGCATCACACAGCCTATTGAAGATGATTTTGTCTTGTCTGGATCTCGTTCTCTGAAATTGCCTCCTGGCAGAATTGCGTTTTTTGATGAGCTGGTTAAGTTCTTTGGATCTAACAAATTTAGGCTGTTTCACTTCTCTCTGAGCATTTTTTTAAGCATTTTGCACTAAACTCCTTGATTAAACTATCAATATCATTGCCTGAGTGTATCATTGGGATAGTGTACTGGATGTTGTTTAGAGCTTTGGCATAATATTGCCAATCAGTTTTAACAGCTGTTTTGACTGGTGTAGTATAACTACTGATACCCAGTACCAAACGGATTGGATTGTGGTCGGAAGATAATTTGTCCAACACAGAAACATCCAGCGGAACACTTGTGTTGAGGTGAAAGAAGTCCAAGATACCGTTAGATCTAGTAGTATACAGTGTTGGGGTAGTTGGAGCTGCTATTTGGAAAGGGATCCTGTGAGGCAAATTGAATAATAAAATTGCTAATTGTGTTAGAATTATAGCAGTTCTATGCTCGGTGTCTAGCATTCAGGTCTCCACCTACGATTATGTGTGTGCCAAGTGTGAGTAATGTGTTGAGATCAGCCTCAACAGCTGTACGGAGTTTTGATGGTGCTATAATGTGTATGTTGTGTTTGTTATAATAGAAATAGCTGTAGCTTCAATGACAGAAAGCTGTGGAATTGTTATTTGATAGTGAGGAATGCAGCGTTTAACAAGGAGAGCTGTGCCACTTCCTCTCCTCCTGTCAGCAGTTATATCTCTGTTGGATCTGTATACACAGTAATTTGCAACATAAATTGGGTTTGAAGGGTCAAGTCTGTGTTCCTGTAGGAAGAAAAGATCTGGGCTGTCCTCATTTATAAAATCTCGCAATTCATTAATCTTATGAGATAAACCATTTGCAATCCATGTAATGATGTTGATACAATTGTTTACAATACTATACATTAAGCAACACATTTAAAACCAAAAATATTTTCGAATATTTCAAACAAGATAAACATCTTATCAATAGTGTGCTGTGCAGCTTGAAGCTCAGGCATCTTATCTGTAATTTTTCTAATAATATTGGCAAATGTTAATATTGGCACCTTTAAAAATGTCCACAAGTTCCTTAATAAATTTAAACATATCAGTAAAAACCTTCTGACCTACCTCAGTAGGTTTTCCCCTGCTACTACAATTAGTACTAACAGTTGCATTTTTCACACTATAATCCGACAATTTATTGTTTACAGTAGCAGACTTCCCACTAATTGCATTAGCATAGGTAACGCCTGGCATTACATTAACTTCTATTAACATTATTTCCTTCATTTGACACATTAACTTTGCTTATTTCATTACTCTGTGCTCTTTTGACGTTCCTAGCAATGGGAAACTTTGGACAACCACGATAATTGGCCGTGTGCCCTGGTTGTCTACAGTTACAGCATATGA